TAAATTATCCTGTCCTTCCCACAGACACACATCATTTCCGCACCTTGAAAATATTTAAATGAGCTGAATTTATTTAGCTTAATTTGCTTCACAAATTCACGGATTTTTATCCCCACAGAAGCTGCAAGATTCCCTACATCCCAAACACATTGCATTCAACACAAGACAGGCATCCTTCCCTGGTTTTTCAAAACAATCAGAATATCAAGTACTGTTCTTACTGCAACAGATACATTTTTATGAACATCACAGCTCTAATAAATTGTTACCCATTCCCCCCAAAAAAGCATGGACCACATCTTTCTCCTTCCCCCTTTCAGGGATTCTTTTTATTTGCAGAAGTACTCTGTAATTTTGACCTGATCTATGGAGAGAAAGTGACCCTCACCGCAACCCCAACTAATACGAGGTTAGGAGAAGCCATGCAACTACAGGGAATTGCTAAATGTATGACTCTCTTGTTTGTGGGATGGCTTTTGAGAAGAGTAGTGGCAGGTTTAAGGTTTTTGCAGAGTTGTATTTCCATGGCTCATAGCCCTTAAGCAGAATGCTATCTTCAAACGGAGTACTGGGTTGGCCTTCTCCGCTCTAAACTTTGCTTTCCACTGAAGAATAGAATAGATTAACAAAGTTGGAAGGGGCCTTGTAGGTCATCTAGTTCAACCCCCTGCTTAGGCAGGAGACCCTATACCATTTCTGACAGGTGGCAGTCCAGTCTCTTCTTGAAAGCTTCCAGTGATGAAGCCCCCACAACTTCTGAAGACAAGCTGTTCCATTGGTTGATTGTACTCACTGTCAGAAAATTTCTCCTTATTTCTAGGTTGAATCTCTCCTTGATCAGTTTCCATCCATTATTCCTTGTCTGGCCTTTGGGTGGTTTGGAAAATAGATTGACCCTCTCTTCTCTGTCTCCCCTGGTCATTCTCTTCACTAGACTAGCCATGCCCAGTTCCTGTAACCGTTCTTTATATGTTTCAGCCTCCAGTCCCCTATCATTTTTGTTGCTCTTCTCTGTACTCTTTTTAGAGTCTAAACATCTTTTTTGTAGTGTGGTGATCAAAATTGGATGCAGTATTCTAGTGTGGTCTTACTAAGGCTTTATAGAGTGCTATTAGTACCTCACGAGATCTTGATTGAATCCCTCTGTTAATGCAACTTAGAATTGCATTGGCATTTTTGGCTGCCGCCGCACACTATTGGCTCATATTTAATTGATTGTCCACTAAGAATCTAAGATCCCTCGCTCAGTTACTGCTATTAAGAAAAGTATCACCCAATCTATACGTATACTTTTGATTTTTCTGTTCCTGTTGATTAGAAAGTGGCACCGTTACACAATTACAAAGAGCTACTATAGCCCTCAAAACCACATCATTAAATACAATGGGCATGAGCCACATGGAGCACCTCCACTGCCTGTTTGTGCCCCAGAGAATATCCCAGAATGAGCAGAGGTAAATATTTCAAACTATTTCAGAAGAGTAAAGGAGCAAAATGATGCCCTGATGCCTTAAAGCTCTTTACAGTAGTGGTCGAAATTGTGGAAACCTTTTGGTTAAAGTGTATTTTCTAAAACTAGCTAATAACACCACTTTTTTTGGAGTAGTACCATAAAATTGTACATCAATGGAAAGATAATTTAATCAAGAATGTAATGCAGTAACTTTTATGAAGGATTTGCTATTAGTATAGCAGTTATAGTATAAAAAAGTAAAGTAAAACACATAGAAAAAATGAAATATACAAAAATTATCACCATAGAAAAAACAAGATATACAAAAATTATCACGTCAGTTAATACTTAGTTCAGTAACCTTTAGTGTGAATTACGGCCTTACAACATCTTCCCATGGTGTGAATCAAGTCTTTTAGTTCTGCAGTTCTTATAATGTGAAACCAAGATGGAATGATGGCTTCTATTAACTGGGTTTTATTGCTGGATCGCTTCTGACTAACAAGTTTCTTTAGTTGGCTCCATAGATTTTCAACTGGGTTAAGGTCTGGGCTATTCCCAGGCCATTCCAGCAATGGAATATGGTTATCTTGAAACTCCCCCCAAAAGGTGGTGTTATTAGCCATCAAACTTCAAAAATACACTTTTCCCAAAAGTTTTCCACAATTTTGGCCACTACTATAGGTGTAGTACAGGTAGTCCTTGACTTACGACCACAATTGAGCCCAAAATTGCTGTACTTAAGTGAGACATTTGTTAAGTGAGTTTTGCCCCATTTTACCAACCTTTCTTGCCACAGTTGTTAAGTGAATCACTGCAGTAAGTAAGTTAGTAACACGGTTGTTAAGTGAATCTGGCTTCCCTCATTGACTTTGGCTTGTCAAAAGGTCACAAAAGGGAATCAAATGACTCTGGGTCATAAATATGAGACAGCTGTCAAGCATCACATCATCATGGGGCTACTATAAAGTTCATAAATGTGAAAACTTTGAATGGTCACTTAATGAACTGTTGTAAGTCGAGGACTACCTGTATCCAAAAGTATGTCTTAATATCCTGAATTCCCCCCCTCCCAAATTAGACCAATTTTGCTCACTGGGAAAGAGATTTAAGGAGTCATACAATTCCTTTTTAAATAAATCTATATGAGCCTCGATGCCATGCACTTGGTACAAAATCAAAAGCATCAATAGAGGCAATATACAATATATTAAAACAGCCATGGTAAAACAAAGATAACATCTATAGTGATTATTAAATTAATGGCTGACGTAGTATCTTCAAGTTCAAACATTATTGTTTAACGTTAACATAATGTTTAAGCATTAATACGTTGCTTTTATTTCTTTAGTTTTCTAGATTGGTGTTTTAAACCTTCTTGTGAGATTTTCAGAATAATTAAATAACCTGGCAACCCCATCCAATCCTGCTTAGCTTCTTAAGAACAGCCACGGTTGACTAGACGCAGCTGTTCACACTCCATGTGTATGAATTCTCACAATTCAAAAAAAAGGAATCAGCCTAACTCAGTGGTTCTCAACCTTTTCTTCACCATGGACCCCCCCCCACACACACACACCTTTAAATATCTTTTGTGGTCACGGACCATGGTCATGGACCCCCAAGACTTAACTCAAGATTTAAATCATAACATTCCTTCGAGCCTTCATGGACATTGTAACCCTCCAGGCGTCTATGGACCACAGGTTGAGAACCAATGGCATAACTCATTTCACAACTTCCTTTCTTCCTGTACAGTATTGTTGAAAGTGATTTCATTTTTTTCCCACACAAAAATCCCTGCCATTGTGGCAAAGATCAGAAACGCTAGCTTGCGTGACGAATGCGCAGTGCTTTCAACCGATTAACCGAAATCATTTTTTTTCCCTGACTGGCAGAAAAGAATATGAGCTGTGGTTCAAAAATCCAAAGTTGCCTAGGCAGACTCCTCAGCTTTCATCCAAATAACCTTAGATTTATAGCACAGAGACAAGTTTCTCAAAGCAAGGCATTTCTCCCATGGGAAAGGTCTTGTGGGGATAATATTGTCTCCTATGTTCAACATTATACAGGCAATTCAGGGCCAAGTCCTTAAGTGCATTGACGTTGTAAATCTGCTGCGATGATCCCAGCATTCTTCAAAGCCAATGGGCTTCTTTGGAGAGGGGTGGGGTGATGCCAATGCATACTGTATGTTATGATGTCATTGCATTCTGCAACTTGCATCTGACACAGGTGCTGTATATAACTACAATATTTGATGATGACATCCTCCAATGCAAGTTATTAAATATAAAGATTTTCCTATCGGTTGTATATGACTCTGTTTTTGACTGGGGTTTCGAATCCGGGCTATCAGCTCACCAGCTGATACGCTCAGCATCTTCAACCACTGAGCCATCATGCTTCAACATTACTTCAACATTATTATGGTTTGCTATCAGTGCCACTGCCAAAGCCTTTTTTTTTTTTTAATTTGATTTATATGCCGCCCTTCTCCGGAGACTCAGGGCGGTTTACAATGCGTTAAGCAATAGCCTTCATTCTTTTGTATATTTTATACAAAGTCAGCTTATTGCCCCCACAAACTGGGTCCTCATTTCACCTACCTTAGAAAGGATGGAAGGCTGAGTCAACCTTGAGCCTTGGAGAGATTCGAACCAGCAGAAATTGCAGGCAGCTGTGTTAATAACAGGGTGCATTAAATCACTGTACTATCAAGGCTCTTGTGCTTGGACCCAAATTTAACTGAAAGCCAGTAGTGGGTTCCACTTACCTTCGCTACCAGTTCAGAACTGTGAGCGTGCACACGGCACTTCTGCGCACGGGCAGAATCTTCTGTGAGTGTGCAAAATCTTCTGTGAGTACGTAGAATCTTCTGCGAGTGCGCAGAGCATCCGTGATGCCGTCCAGGTGGGTGGGCGGAGCCTCCCGCTGCCGCCACTACCGGTTCGCCAGGGTGAACCGGTAGAAACCCACCACTGCTGAAAGCCCTCCCATTTTTTCCATCATTTGAAAGCTGATTTATCTCTCTAGGAGGCCACAGCATAAGGCAACTTGTTTTTATCTCTTTATAGACGAGAACTTGCCAACTGCTCGAGATTGCAACAGCTGTTCAGGAAAGGATTTTTTTCTATTCAGGTAATCAGTGTAAACTGTTTACAGGAGAACAATATCTCCTCTCCTCACAATTCTGTAGAATATTTCTTTTACTTTTTGGTTCCGTTTTATGATTTGGGGGGGGGGGGGGGTTGGTTTGGGTCTTGTGAAAAAGAAAAACATGAATCTTTGAAATCCACAGAGTCTCGTGAATTCATTCAGGAAATTGTCTGACACAGACAATGATCATGAACCGCTTCAAAGGCTTAGCAATAATTCATCTTTCTTTATGTGCGAGTTCATAACCTTTTCGTTTCCTTTGCTCTGATCACAATCGCATTGCCAAAACGGCTTCATCAATTATCTATGGCTAAAAAGTGGACTCTAACATTTTGGAGAGTGTTATTAATTGGCCTCGGTAGTGCCTAATGAGTTTGAAAGCTCCTACCTGCCGGTCCCCGAGGAGGATGGCTACTTGCGGACAACAATTTACAGCACACCATTAACACATATGCCAGGAACAGCCACTGAGATGGAAGCATTGATTTGGCACAGGAGCTCATCCTGCAGAAAAGGAGGGCAAGGGGAAAAGAAAAAAAAAGGAAGCCACTGAGAATGAAAGAACAATAATAAATGCGGAACGGTAAAATACAAGGCAAAAGCTATAAAAAAAAAGGGGTGGCAGAGGAAAAGTTAATGAAGACTGGAAATTAAATGAAATGGATTAATAAAAACATAATACTTAAGGGGGTAGAATCACATTCACACCTAAACTGAGGTCAATTCTTAATCAGCCATGCTTTACAAGAAAGGATGAAGAACGGTACATCTTTTATTTCCAATTTCTGTCTCTGGGGATGCTCTTTGTCTGTTTCCATTATGACGCTGAAACTATGAGCTTTAACTGGTTTATTATCAGACTTTTGAAGACACTTAGCCCATCATCAAATTATATCCAAAGGAGGAAATTTTGGGGAGGAGCCTATTCCAAGAAGTCCTCAAAATGCAGGTAGCCCTCAACTTACAACGATAATTGACCCCAAAATTTATGTTGCTAAGTGAGACATTTGTTAAGTGAGTTTTCCCCCATTTTATGACTTTTCTTGCCATAGTTGTTACGTGAACCATTGCAGTTGTTAAGTTTATGACTCAGTAGTTAAGTGAATCTGACTCCCCCATTTGACTTAGCTTGCCAGAAGGTGTTCACATGATCTGGGGACACTGCAACCGTCATAAATATGGACCAGTTGCCGAGCATCCAAATCATGTGGCCATGAGGATGCTGCAATGGTCATAAGTGTGAAAAATGGTCATTAGTCACTTTTTTCAGTGATGTTGTAACTTCGAACTGTCACTAAATGAACTGTTGTAAATTGAGGACTACCTGTATCAGCATTGGGGGGGAGGGGAGGCCTTTTTCCCCCATTGATAAAGCAATTTTAGAAAATGGTGGGGACGATGCCCACTGATGCAGAAAAAAAGAAAACATCTGGGTACTAGAAATCATTCTGATCAGCTAGAAGACAGGACAATGAACAATCATTCATCTAAATTCTGATAATTTAGGTGTTCTGGACCAGGTAATGGGTTTCAAAAAATTTTACTACCGGTTCTGTGGGTATGGCTTTGTGGCCGTGGCATGGCTTGGTGGGCGTGGCTTGGTGGGCATGGCAGGAGAAAGATATTGTAAAATCTCCATTCCCACCCCACTCGAGAAGAATTCTGTAAAATCTCCATTCCCTCCCCACTCCAGGGAAAGGATACTGTAAAATCTTCATTCCCTCCCCAATCCAGGGGAAGGTTACTGCAAAATCCCCATTTCCTCCTGATCAGCTGGGACTTAGGTGGCAGAGAATAGATGGGGGCGGGGCCAGTCAGAATTTTTACTACCAGTTCTCCGAACTACTCAAAATTTCCGCTACCGGTTCTCCAGAACTGGGCAGAACCTGCTGAAACCCACCTCTGTTCTGGACCCAAGTACAGCTGTTTTGGGACTAGGAAAAACTCAACAGGTGGAAATTTTCGAGAGAACACCTACAGCCTACTTTCAAAATTCCAAAGGGACCGATAGAAAAACTTTACTAGCCTATTGTACATTCTCAATAAAAAAGGGAGGGGAGGGAGGGAGGTTCACAGAAAAAAGAGCAACAAAGATTTAGAATATTTTGAATCTCTTCATTTCTACCTATTGATTGCCTAGATTGTTGCAGCCAAGATCAAAAATTAATGAGCAACAATTAATTAGAAATTGTTGTATGTCTGGATTAAAGATTTTTCCTGGTTATTGTTAATTAAAAAGTGCTTTTATAGTGAAACAGTATAATCAGGCAGTATAGATTCTATTGTCATAAAATATAATTTATTAATACCTAGCATTCATACGCAACATTATTTAAGAATTTGACTATATCAGGTTTTTCAAACCTGGCAACTTAAAGACTTGAAGTATAGACTTCAACTCTCAGAATTCTCTAAACTGGCTGGCGAATTCTGAAAGTTGAAGTCCACATATCTTAAAGTTGCCAAGTTTGAAAAACACCAGGCTAAATGATCCACCAACTCCTTCCAATGCATAGATTTTATGATTTAAAGGAATAACGAGCAAAAATCAAGTAGAAACCTACTTGCAAACCTCTTCCCACCATAATCCTGCACAAAACGGGGGAGGGCCTTCTCTGTGGGGGCACCCACCCTGTGGAATCAGTTGCCCCCTGAGATAAGGAGAATCCATGACCTCAGTGCCTTCCGCCGTGCCCTTAAAACTTTCTTTTTTCAACAAGCCGGGCTGGCTTAATTCTTTTTAAGGGTTTTTTAATTGTTTTGTTTTGTTTATCGTTTTAATTAATGGGGCCAAATCTATATATATATTTTTAACTGTGTTTTAATATTTGTATTTGATGTTTTTATTTGGCTGTTCACCGCCCTGAGTCCTCAGGGAGAAGGGCGGTATACAAATTCAAAAATAAAATAAAACGTGTACAAAGGAAATACAACAACACATAGTACCGTGTTTCCCTGAAAATAAGACCCTGTCTTATATTTTTTTCCACCCCAAAATAAGCACTTAGCCTTATTTTCAGTGAGGTCTTATTATTTTGGGGCGTGTGGAGCAAGACGGGGCTCCTCTTGTCGTCTTACCTGATTTCCAGCTCTGTCTCCCTAACCCTAACCAGAGGAAATGGTGGGGACTGGCTGCACATGCGCTTAAATATTTTGGGGAGGGCTTATTTTTGGGGAGGGCTTATTTTTGGGAAAACATGGTATATACAACAACATAATAATTTTAATAATTTTAAATAATAATAATAATAATAATAATAATAATAATAATAATAATAATAATAAATTTTAACTGATGTCTGTCTTTGTGTTTTTAATAGGCTGTACACCGCCCTGAGTCCTTCGGGAGAAGGGCAGTATAGAAATAAAATTATTTATTTATTTATTTATTTAACACATAGAAGTCTCCTGTTTAAATACGATATTCAGTAAATTTGAAAAAGATGAGATTTAGACTTTTAAGTCACCCAGAGTCACTTTGTAGGAGAGATGGGCAAGCGTAAAAATTTTTATAATAATAATTTTAAAAAACCTTGAACAATTTGGAGTACACTTTTAGAAAAGATATTCTAAAGAAAGATTTCACTAGATGCTACAGCCTGCCCCTCTTCTGCTCCTCCCACCACCCCGCTAACTTCCTGCCTCTCCATTCTCTTGCAGAGCCAACCCAGGTAAACTCCTCTGGGAATAATACCCAATACTGTGCTAACCAATACTGTGCTACCAAGGAGCCTTGGTAGCACAGTGGACTAATGCACTGTTATTAACTGTTATTAACATCTGCTGCTTGCAATTACTGCAAGTTCAAATCTCACCAGGCTCAAGGTTGACTCAGCCTTCCATCCTTTCTAAGGTAGGTGAAATGAGGACCCAGATTGTGGGGGCAATAAGCTGACTTTGTATAAATATACAAAAGTATGAAGGCTATTGCTTAATGCATTGTAAGCTGCCCTGAGTCTCCGGAGAAGGGCGGCATATAAATTAAAGCAAAAAAACAAAACAAAAAAAAAACAATGTTATGGGCAGAAGTGAGCACTAACGGGCACTTCTCCAGCCTTCTTTGATCATGGCCAAAATCCGAGTGCAATTAAAAGTATTAGCCCTAAAATAATATTAGCATAATTCAAAATTCAAATAAAATAAAATAAAATGAATTCAGAAAAAGCACTGCCCCCTAGATATGACTAGTACATATGTGCAAGGGGAACCTTTACTTTTAACTAATTCAAAAATAAGCTGCAAAATTCCCACTCCCAAAATACCCAGGCTCACTTAGTCTTCTATACCTCCATCCACATAAATTGTGGCCCCACTAAAGGTTGCAGACTCAGGAATTCTGGGAGTTGAAGTACACAATTTGTAAAGGGCCTATAGTGGTTAATAAATGGCTGTGGGTCAAGGGGATTATAAGCCTGAATGTCAATAGGTGGGGTTGATAATGATGGGAGGTATAAATCTTTCACCCTTTTTTTTTTATAAAGATGGAAAGTTCATTGGGCTCAATTAATCTTTTGGAGCCTCTGTAGAATTCCATGCCAGTCCCTAATCTTGAAGGTAAGGTAGCTACTGATAAGACAACCTTGCTCAGCATTAAATGGTCAGCCAGCAGTGAAACTGGGCTTCAGTTCCCATTATTATTATTATTATTCATAGTACTGTTAAATAGTATTTATTAAATTATTATCATATAATAAATGTTTGGGGGTTAATGAAATGACATGAAGGGGTCAATGAGCTAAAGAGTTTGGAGACATCTGCTTTTGAAGGAGGCAAAATACTTCAAAGAACTTTATTAAGCTTATGTTGTCATCAAATATTTCAGAAATCTCAGGATCTATTTAAAGGATTGGGGGCACTTCTTACCTTGGTAGTTTTTCCAGGTTTTTATTGCAGGTCAGCAATCTTAGCAGCAGGTACCTTCTGCCACAAATGCAGATTCCCATTTGTAAATATATCCGAGCATTTCTGCACCCAAATTTTCCTGCACATCCAAAGCCTAGAGAAGAAACGGGATTGGGAAAATACTGTATTATTATTGAGGATATGGATTGGTTAAGTTAGAAACTTTTTAAATTAAAACCATTGTTACACAGCAGCAGGGGTGAAATCCAGCAGGATCTGGAAAACCAGTAGAGAAATTTTGAGTAGTTCGGAGAACCGGCAAATACCACCTCTGGAGATTTTGCAATATCCTCCCCCCAGGAGTGGGGAAGGAATGGGGATTTTGCAGTATCCTTCCCCTGGAGTGGGATAGGAATGGGGATTTTGCAATATCCTTCCCCCAGGAGTGGGGAGGGAATGGGGATTTTGCAGTATCCTTCCCCTGCCACGCCCCACCAAGCCACGCCCACAGAACCAGTAGTAAAAAAAATTGGATTTCACCACTGCACAGCAGCCTAACAAAGAAAGGTATAATAATCTCTTTCACATTATTCACATTATCCTTCCAGATCTAGGTATGAACTAAGGTTTTTAGGAACAGTAATTACAACAAGGTAGCGATACATCTTCCAGAGCCAGAAATATACCTAGCCTCCTAACAATTAAAAATGAAATGAAACTTGCAATATTTCAACATCTTGCCAAATTTCAGAGACTTTTCAGAAGATCTTAAGATGAATACTGACATCTCTATGCCTGGGTTTTGTATCAGTAGTGGGATCTGCAGGAAGTCAACACCTGTACATAAGGCAAGTATTATAATCCATACCACACCCTTACGTGCATGTATCAATGTTGCATACATACACAAAACAGGCAGAGCTTAGATTGTGATACTACACCCACTCCCGTAGATGCCCTTGCACTCTATAATTCATACATGCAATCTCCTTGTTCTCTTAACCAAGTGTTAAATACTGTTTGAAAACTAGCATTCAAGGCATATTCAAGGCATAAATTCAAGAAAATTTCCAATAAAATGGTCGCCACAGACATCAGCAAGAAAGTAGATACATATTTTCATATGCACATACATATATTCTGCACTTTCCTGTAGTTATTTATCTATCTTGTCTATGCGAATGAACATTTTGAGATGGTAACGCTACTGTAATTTGTATTTTAACTATAATAAAATAGAAGAACAATGCATTAGACAAGAGTATAAAAGGCCATGTTATTATTACATACACAAAAATAATAGCTGCCAGTTCTTCAGATGATGTTGGCCTTCATATGTATCAAGTTCTTCCTAAGAACTTAGGATATTGTGATGTAGTGGTTTAGTAAATGTGCAGATTTCAGCAGTGTGGTTTTTTGTAATTGAGAGATGGAAATTTTGTCAATGTGCATATTATTATGATGATGATGATTAGGGTCTGTCATACAGTCAACCAGATGTTTAGACTGAATCTGGCATTTTTATATACCTACAGAATCCTTCCCAAGGACCCGGGATAACCAGATATTGTTTAATAAGATTAAAGTTATTGTCACAGGACGTAAGCTGTTCTACGTAAAGCTGCGTAAAGTTCTGCAAATGACTGATGGTGATTTTATCAATGCTGGCGGTGTTCAAGTAATGTTTTGGGATTGTACCCAAGGCACTCAATACTATTGGTACTTTCCTTTGCCTCAGATTATTTTCTATGCTGCCAAATCTTTTCAGAATTATTAATTTTGCTATTCTGCTGCCTGGATTACTGTAGAGACTTATAGAGGTTATTGTACCTGCAGGATTCTTCAATCCATGTGTCTTCTTCAGGCTAAACTCCTTTGAATGCCCAACTGACCATGTGCTCTTCCATAATCAGAGGGGCACTTCCAGAAGTACTGATGTTTCTTCTTTGTGTCTCCACAGAGAAAAGAATTCAGCTTTCAGTCACCCATTATGCTTAAGTCATAAAGACGTACTAAGCCATGTGTTGGAGCCATTGAAGATGCAAACTGAAGCAATACTCTACTTGCTAGATCACAGCAGCACCATTCACTTCACTTTGAATGTCTGTCTGCATTCTCTGTATGCACAAAAGCCACTTGCCTCGAAGCAAGGTGGTTGTGTGAGGTGGCCTGTCTCTGACTCAACTTTTAGTGACCTCCTCCAACACTTTCCTTCAAGTGCTAAAGTCGATCAACAGCAGGCTCTTTTGCATAGGCCAGTTAACAAATAAGACGTATACCCAAGCAATATCCCACACAGATTTCTTTTTTTTTTTAATTTGATTTATATGCCGCCCTTCTCCGGAGACTCAGGGCGGCTTATAATGTGTTAAGCAATAGCCTTCATACTTTTGTATATTTTATACAAAGTCAGCTTATTGCCCCCACAATCTGGGTCCTCATTTTACCTACCTTAGAAAGGATGGAAGGCTGAGTCAACCTTGAGCCTGGTGAGATTTGAACTTGCAGTAATTGCAGGCAGCTGATGTTAACAACAGTGCTTTAGTCTGCTCAGTCAGGGCTCAGGTGAGTTTTAGAGAAGTATGGGTGCTACCAGAGTAGGTTTGTACTGCAACATCTAAATGTGTTCCATGAGAATCAGCAATGGATTTCTTCTACATTCCTAATCCATCTTCTCTAAATTGATCCCTTGCTGCGTTCATGTGTGCGGAAAGAGCGGAAGCCAGCATTGGACTGTAGGAAGTTAGCACCCACCCCTCTCCTGGAAGAGTGAAATATTTTAGGAAATATGAAAAAGGCAGAATATTATATTTCCCTGGGATAAGCATGTTTTGAAGCAGCTCCCATCTTCCTGCCCCCCACCCTTTGTCAATGGGCCATTAAGGCTTGGGCAAGTCTATTCTACATAACAAAGATCTACCTCCTTCAGGCAGAGCCATAGTAGGAATTGCCAAAGATGGGATTAGCCCTCTACACAATAGCAGCAGAAACTCACCACATGTGACCTGGGAAGCACATGTGACCATCAGCCAGCAAGGCCCCCACCCCTGGGGGTTTGACAACCAATCAGGATACTCTTTCGGGGCCCCAAGAAATGCAGAGCCAGAGAGAGCATAAAAACCCGAGGATTTACTGTATCTGCCCCTTTTCTGTTCAGGAACTCAAGCCATGTGATCCTGTCCACCATTAAACCATCTTTCCAAGCAGTCTCCATGTTTCCAGTGTCTGTTTCCCCACTTGGAGCAGAACCCAGAAGGATGTTTCTTCCAACAGGACCTGGCCGGACACAAGACAACACAACATGAAGCGCGACCGGCAGAGGAGCCCAAAAGAGCCAGCAACCTGAGTGCCGCTAGTCAGACAGTGTAACCAAGGTGCACCAAGGATAGGCAGGCAAGTGCTGAACAGAATGAGCCTGCAATTTAGGCTATCAGGACTGTATTGTATCTAGCATTTGTAGATTTCCCTGACATTGTATGCCATATGCTAAATAAATAAAATAAATAATAAAGTGATCCCAGACCAAAGTGCCATGCATATACATTCCTCTCCAAGCATATAATACTGATAAAATCTTCAATCTCCCCACTCTCCCCCATCTCATAATACATTTCCTTAAATAGCCTAAAGAAGCACCGGGAAAGTAGCAATTAAAACCTGTCATTCCCAACCTATACTATACTATGACCGCTGGAGAAATGCAACAGGTTGGTTGTCACATTTCATTAAAAGAGACAATTCTGTCATGTTTATTTCCTGAGCCAATGTGTGTAACTATTATGGGGGGGGAGGGGGGAATGGACTGTATAATTCATTATTATAAGCCTGGCTTGCATTGAGCTCCTGGTAGCTGAAGGTCAAGTTGAGCCCAGGGACTGGAGAGGGAGGAACAATAAACAGTTGCAACAAAAGCTTCTGCATTTCTATGAGATGGAAGGAGCTTTGCTGGCTCATTATTTTGTGGGACATATGTCAGTAAGGACCACTGGGACTTTTTGCCAGCCATTTCCCAAACCAAAGACTTGCTTGCACGGAAGTCGAGCGACGGGGTTCAAGGAAACACTGATCCAATGTAACTCGGAAGACCCCCCTGGCAATTATCTTGAACCACCTGCATGACCAGATGTGCATCCGCTACCTGAACTTTTCCCACATAAATAGAAAGCACTAAGGCCCCTACTCTGCATCCCATTTTATTACTGCCTATTAAATTGGATTGGCAGTGTGAGATGAAGTGAGAAGACAAGAGGGTTCACTTGGGGAATATGCGAAGGACTGCCAAGGCAGGAAATATGACATCCCATCCTGCTACTTCAGCTCCTGACAAATGGAATAGCAGCTTTGATTTATTTGACCTGATCAATTATATCTGGGAGGTGCACAGCAGAAGCACGAACCCTGGTAGGTCAGGTTGATCAGGGAATGCTCCTGCATTCCGGGTTGCATAAGAGGTTCTCCGTTTTCCTTTTTCTTCTCTCTCTCAAACATCTTGGCTCAAACCATGCCAAACAATTAGCAGAGGCATCAGAAATGCATGCTGTTTCTTTTCTTCCTTTCTTTTCCTTCATACCACTCATGTAAATTTGAGGGTAGTGATCATTTATCTTTTTTCAGCACCAACAAACTTGGTTCTTTTTTTCCATGAAACAACCCAACATACAGTAATTGGCTCTTTTCAGTCAGAGCTACAGCTTGAGCCGAGTCTCAAACAGAGAGTAAGAGATACATGGCCAAATAGGTAGTATATGTGCTCCCTGAGTAGAAGTGTGTTATTAGAGAATGATGGCTCTGTGATTATCGAATTCTTTTATCTGTTTTATGGTACTAAGTTATTATTTTAATTTATACACCACCAAGAATTGCTCTGGCATGGATGGATTTAATTTATACACCACCAAGAATTGTTCTGGAATGGATGGATGGATATAAGATAGGTAGGTAGGTAGGTAGGTAGGTAGGTAGGTAGGTAGGTAGGTAGGTAGATAGATAGATAGATAGATAGATAGATAGATAGATAGATAGATAGATATAGAGCAGGGGTCAGCAACCTGCGGCTCTGCAGCCGCATGTGGCTCTTTCACCCCTCTGCTGTGGTTCCCTATCACTCAAAATATGCCTCACAACCCTCAATGTGTGACATCCACTGGCACACGA